TCCCATCAAACAGTAAAATTTGATATGGTAGCGTGAAAACATCCACAAAAGATGGAGTAGTATGCTTTGCGAGTCGGCTACCCGAGCTCTCCTCGCAACTGATTACTGCCAGTCTGTCGCGCGCAGCGCTTGCGTAATTGACAGTCACAAGTAATGGGATACACCCCCTTTACTGTTTCCTAAATTTCAATTTGTCTTAATCCCTTTCTCATTCCTTCGTAAGTCTCCTCATTGCAACAACAATCTTGCATGGTTCTGAGTTCAGAGCAGGAGTGAACAAAGCCACATGTATCCGCAGAAGGCAACTGTGAGTGCAAGCACAGCGGAAAAATTTGACTTATCGAGTCGGTGCTAAAGTTTTGTCAGTTTTTGAAATTAACCGCTAGTCCCGCACAGTAAAGATAAACACTACTTTAAACTGAATAAATGCGCTGCAGAAATTCTTCCTCTTTCCAGGCTGTTTTCGCGATGTGATTCGTTGAGATAGTACTGACAAGATCGCTAGAAATTACAACTTTTCGTTTTCTACCCGTCCAACTTTCGCTTTTTTGAAGTTTTGAGACTTTTGGAAGAGCTTTTTTAGCCAGCAGATAAGGCAAGTCTGCCAATTAAAACGATTTTTTGTGTAGTTTCCATGCTTTGCTTTGTAGCTGGACCTCGTTTTTTCAAGTGTTCTGAGCCACGCAGGTTTTTATTTGCTTTTTATTTATTCGATCACAGCCTAAAGTTTCAACGCCTTCGTCTTCCTCAAAAACCTGAAAGTAGTTCAAAAGTGGACTAGTCATCCTGACTCCAAGCCACCTCGCCTAGTTCAGCTAATTCTTAACTTTCGCTCATCTTTTCTTCTTCAAAAATGTCAACAGGAGATGATTGTATCAAGAGACCACCGCTATATATGGTATTCCGTACCGGAAATGATGGTCGTGGCCGCAGAATAGACTATATCATTAATGACAGTCGAACGTGATCTATAGACCGCAAGTTTATACCGTGAACGGAAGGAAAGAGTTCGGCTAGGAAAGCATTAGAGGCTTGATCTCCGCAAAGGAACCAGAAATGAACAATAAGAATGAGTGCTTGTCAATACCCCCCCCCCCGGTTCATAGATTTGATAATCATTTAAAAATAGCTTACTCTTCCGCCAGGACCATGATTCCCAGCGTGGAAAATTATAGGGGTCTCTCGGTACGCTCATCTTCTGTCCTGACATTTTTATAGTAGCAAAGTTGAGCAAAGATTGAAAACTAGTCGAACTGGAGGAGGGGGTTTGGTGGATTGAAGTCACGTATGACGTTTTGAGCCACTCTCAGGCTTAGGAAGACGAAGGTGCCAAAGGGTTAGTCCGTGATTGAATAAATAAAGAGCATCTAAAAACCTGCGTGACTCAGAACATTTAAAGGCACCGTCCACCCAAAATCTCGAATTCAATGTTTTTGTCGCCTTCAGGCCTTCTTAAAGCCCTGATTCCGAATATGGAGAAAATCCGCGAAATCCCCAAAAATCCCTGTTTTGGGAACCTTCTGCAACAAACGCAGGCGAGATAAAGCATGCAGTGCAGACCATGGTCGCCCCGCCTACTTTGCTTATTTCTCGCTCCAGAAGCAATCTTTTGCGGCAAAGCTTGGGAGTTTGCTTAGTGTGAGAGCCTACACTAGTATGCCATCATAATCCCACCAACTCCATTTTGGGTGGACGGTGCCTTTAAAAAATTGTTTATATTTTTCTTTTCAGCTTCTCTTTTAGAAATTTGTCAGATCAATTTTAAAAAGTCTTGTATTCTGGCAAAAATCGCGTAACACGTTATTGCACCAAACGCTGTTCTTCAAAATACTGAGTTTTCGAAACTTTTTCATTTTACTCTTACCAACCTCATAAATGAGCGAACTCTTTAAAATATGAGGTTCAAGAGAAAGCACGGTGCACGTTTAAAAAATTGAGAACTACTGCGGATTTTTCCGCAAAATTCGCGTGTCTTGTGAAGAAATGTGCATAAGGATGACAGGACATTTCCCAAAGTTCCGTACATCTCTCTGTTTTCTGTAGTTCCTGACAGAATCCCAGAATATCACCCCTTGCTTTTAGAGTCGTCTTTCTTCCCAAGAAAAACTGCGTTGAAAATGTGTGAAATTCGATTATCTCTAATAGCATTGCTAGGCCTATAGTAAATAAGTGAAAGATCAGGTTGTCGGAGTCTTCAACTCATTATCAGGGTCAAGCGTGGGGTCCGGCACCACACCTGGGGGTCGTATTGAGGAGTCAAAAGGGGAGGGGATCGTAGTTGGCTAATCTGATAATAGTGATAACATGATATTCGTATCATATTCATAATTAGCATGTCAAATAACCCCTGTAGACAAAGTGTGAGCGAATTCTGAAGATACTAGGCTACATAAGTAAAATGGTCAAATTCCAACATGGTTAACTTTGTTCCAAAGGTGAATTAGCTATCCGTTTTTGCACTCAAGACAAAGAACTAATCCTTCTTTGTCCACCTCAGGAATCCCGCTTTAGAATACCTCCAAACTGTGGAATTAGAAGCCAACCAAAATCTCGTTTTTCCCAATTTCGCTTTTGATCGCTGTGCTTTTACCAAATATTACCCCACAAAGAATTCCCAAGTCAGTTCGGCCAACCCGTATGATTCATATATTACCGTAACGGGCTTGAAACGCTGATTCCAGATCTGCTTTCGGTTTCTGCGGAACAATTTTCCGAACGAAGTTATGAGCATTTGAAAGTTCAAATTTGCCAAGTCTTGAGTGGCATAAAATTGGCGAAAGCCGTACAGTAACATGTGAGAATGCGTTATCAGTTGTGTTGAATATAAGGGCGGAACATAGCCAGTGGAAATCGGCTAGATGATCTTTCAACGCTTTTAGTTAATGCCGCTTTGAACATGACAAATCCAGACTTTCAAACGCTCATAACTTCTTTCGGAAAGTTGATCCGCAGAAAAGAAAGCAGATTTAGAATCAGCGTTTGAAGCGCGTTCGATGAAATACGACTTATCCGGGTTGGCCGAGCTGAATTGGGAACTCTTCCTTGTCAGAGCTAAGAAGACGAATCAGGCTTCAAACAGTCCTATGAAATCTACAAGGTTTAGGCTATCGATTCATATAAAGACTGTCCGCTAAAATTGTTGTTTTTTATATAGTTAATGGGGTGCGGCACACCTCCTTAAAAGCCGCAGCTTTTAAGGGGGCGTGCCGCACCCCATTAACTATGTCACAAAAACATTTTTAGCAAACCATAATTATAAAGAACAATAGCTTGGATCTCCTAGTTTTCACAGGAGTGATTTAAGCCCGATTCGTGTTCTTTGCTCTGAGTAATAGCTGGTGAAAGCACAGCCATCAAAAGCGGAAAATGGGAAAAACGTGCTTTTGGTTGGCTTCTAATTCCATAGTTTGGAGGTCTTCTGAAGCGGGATTCCTGAGGTGAACAGGGAAGGAGTAGTGCTTTGTCTTGAGTGCAGAAACGGATAGCTAATTCACCTTTGAAACAAAGTTAACCATGTTGGAATTTGGCCATTTCACTTAGGTAGCCTAGTATCTTGAATCTTCAGAATTCGCTCACACTTTGTCTACAGGGGTTATTTGACATGCTAATTATAGATATGTTGCCCATTATGTTTGACAGGGCCTTCAAATAATGCTATCTTAAGTGTATAGTTCAGGGGGGGTCTCACTAAGACAGCAATCAGGGGGGGGGGGGAGTCGTAACCAGCGATTGTGTGCCATATCCCTTGCTTGACCCTGCTTATCACTGTTCGCGAGCTGGGTTTATTGAAAAATCACGACCTTCAGATTCATGTTTTGTTCAAAACATTCATAGGTTTCTATAATATATCTTTGATACAAATGATCTCTGATAATCTTTGATACGAGTCATTTTTCTCGGGTTCACGGGAAGATATACGACACTGAAAACAACTAATACTCTAGGAATTTCAGAGGACCACACAAAACATTGTAACCTTCAGATTATAGCGTACTCCTTCATGCTTAAGTATTATAGTATGAAAGCTTTGATAAGACGGATGGACAAAAAAAATACTGGTATGTGAAGCAACAAGATACGTCGCGCTACTTCTTAGGTATGCGCCATAATTGATCCGCTTGATCCACTTGATCTACTTGATCCGCTTCGTCACAATGAACTGACCAGCAGCGAAGCGGTTGCCCACTTGATCCGCTTGATCTCATCCACTTCACTATTGGTCAGTTTACTGAAATCAGCAATGACGAAGCGGATTAAGCGGATCAAATATGGCCCGTGCCTAAGCTTCCCTTTATGGGAGTATTGGACAAACATGTTTACGGAGCGATTGTCCACCCAATCTGAAGACAACACAGTTGTCAACCACGATCCAAGAAGTAGCCAAGGACCAACTGCAACAAATACTACGTCGCGGTAGCACTGAAAAATAATTATTATAATTCTGAAGCTTAATTTTGAAGGAAAAATGGTAGCATACTTTTTCGGTGTCATTCTTTTCATTAAGAGTTCTATTTTTCGATTTTGCGAGCATTTTTTGCTGATAATGTGGCAAGTACGTCAAAGTAATCCATCCAGAATATGCAACAATGGTCGCGGTAAGAGCAAGCGAAATGTTGAAGAGAACTATTGGCAGCCAGATACTCATCGTTTCAGTAGTGAAATGACCCACACAGCTCCACAAGGTTGTAATCTGAATTCAAGTCTTTATGCTGATCAGTTAATGAAGAACCTGTTTATATGTACTTTCCCGTCCTGAGTACTTGCAGATATAATAAGCACCCCTCCCGTGAACAGAACAGCGATAAAGGTTTGAACCTAAAAGAGATGGATATGTATTTGTGAGGATGCATATGTCGACGTACTGCAATTGAGCTGATTGGTAGGATAGATGTATTCAAAGCACTTCCCCATACGTTTCTGTTTTCTGCGAGTATCACATGATAAACATTCACAGCTTCTAACGTGAAGAAGCATATCCCTAAATAACTGCCAACTAAATTTTAACCCATAATTTGATCTATTTCAGCTGTACCCAAGGAGAAACACATTGTGCCGATAAAGAACCATAAATTGCAAGATGCTATCGATATGTCGAATATACCAAGGTGGTGGAAGAAGAGTATGACGAGACCACCATTGGAAGTAAATAGTGTGCGCATGTTTTGATAGAAAACTTGAGTGTCCTTAAAGTTTCTTTTCTAATATGGCTGCGAAACAAAAATGAACCTACCTCTCCTTCTTTTGGGCGGTACAGCTTCAGTATCGCTTTTGCTACCATTAAGCAAATGTCGCCAGTGGTCAGTATTAATGCGGCAGCGGTGGCTCCATTTACTCCTATGTTCTGCAAAAAAAGGAAATATCAAAAAATTAGGTAAAAGACGACTCGTGCGGTAAGTAAACTGGCAGAAGATGTACATTGGAAGTGAACTGTAATTACTTTGTCTGATCAAACCCTTTCATTAGCATACTTTTTTGTCAAGAATTATACCATCTTGCTTTGACAAATATTCAGTGCATCCCTGTATTTTATGAAAACTTGTTGTCATCCTTGTCGGATCAAACAACCATGTAACATCAAGTGCACAGTAACTCATGCAAGGGCCTCAAAGCATTGGTCCTTTCGATTGTTGACAGCTTCCCCTAGCTTTTGTCGCCCCTTGTTTATAAGCCCTAATTTCCTGTGAAATAGAATGCTTGTGCTGAAATTTGAAACATGGCTCATTGAACTTTCTGCCTTTATTGGGTCAAAAACTGACTTTTACCAAAAGATGATGCTAACGTTTTACAGAAACTCCACTCTACTTCAAAATTGACCCTGCTCTGGCCCTTGACCCTGCTCTGACCCAGCTCCCCGTAAAGTATGTGTGCGAAGTTCGATTCGGATTGGTTAGAAAAAGCACTTTTTCATTCGGAGCTTGCACTAGTTTAAAAGCATTCAGGCTGACAACCATTTCTATGCATAACATCAAACTTAAAGCTGGCTCATTTAACGCTTGTAAGCAAGCCGGCAAAGCTGAATAAATATCTCGAATTTTGATAGACTGAGTCGCTTACACCCAAAATATGAGATAGAGTAAGTACTGGCGCAGCACTGCGCAGCTGCTGTCTGCCAAGACTGCCCTCAAACCCGTAAGCGTAATCCATTCTTACACGCACTCAGACGAGATCATTTCCCTTCCATCTCGGAGACGGCATGCAGCAATGTTGCGATCATGAAAGTCCCCAAATGATTTCTTCAAATTTAGCGGAAACTGTTCCGCTAGGACAAAATTGGAGTGGAGGGAAGTGGGAAAAGCTGATTTTTGATTTGGTTTTCTCTAAGGAGGCTTTTCGCAAGCGCGTCGGATTACCCCAGGTAGGCAAATAGAATTTTGGTCAAAGATTTGCCAAAATACTGCCTTTCAGTTCTCTGCTACTCATTGCGCCAAAATAATCCAATCTGAATTACTGATATGGCATGCAGTCAAAACACATTTGAATTTGTACTTTCATATGTTCGACTACATCCTTTCATGACGTTTTGATTAGAACAATAGAGCAGAATAATCTTGATATTGTTTTTTGTACTTTCCGTAGACTACAACTTACTTCGTCGTAAAGATATGATGACACATTTAACTTCATGTACTCGCAATGTTCGCCAGCGTAAAATTCACCACATTCACATTCTGCCTGAAATTCTCATTGCACAACTTAACCTAAAGCTCCATGAATTGCTTTTCTCGAAAAATCAAAATGGTACTCAAGCGAAAAAAACGAAAAAATTGAAACTTTTTGGACTGAGAAGCTTGGTTACTTCGCGATTACGGCACAAGATACATCACAGACATGTCACCTTGTCCACCTTCGAAACGCATCTGCCATTTGGGCCACATTGCAGCCCTGTAAGCTCACAGAGGTCGGGAGATTTCCAGCAAGTGAAGCCCTGAACCGAAATTCCAGGATTTTGGCGCACATGCACACACAAATGGTACTTACAGTCCATCCATGCTTGCATCTGCACGTGAAAGTTTCTTCTACTTCCACGCAGGATTGCGTACCTGGTTCAAAGCATGTCTTACATGAAGGTTGCATCCGTTGATATATTGGTGGTGTTTCAATCTCTTCGATCTTTTTCTCAATGTCTAAATTCATTTCAATATTTCATGAGCCTTTCTGCTTTGATTCTCGACCTTGAGTACATTTGAGGTTTGTTGGATATGGGTGTAATGTTCCCTTCTCTCTGCACGATATCTCGACCTTGACGTTCTTTTGGTGCGCACACGGAATACTGTAAAACAGTCAGTTAAGCCAGTTGGCTTATATCTTCAATAGCGAGTTTATTCTGCAAATGCTAAGATGGTCGAAATTTTTAAAGACTTTTTTCACAAAGTTTACGCTATAAAATACATGACAATACGCTTGATTAGGAATGCTAATAATTTTGCCTTCTGCTATGCAGGATGTCTCAAGAAATGTGTCTCCTTTACTTCAAAGTTTTTCGCCAATTTTCATCGTTTTTTGAGATGGCTGAATCAAATTTGCAAAATGGAGTGAATCACCGATTGCTCTTTGCTAGTGTATATTATGCTAAGAACTTCGAAGAGAGTTCCAAGACATTATGGCCATTAGTGCTCCAGGGTAGGAACCGAAAAACCCGAGAACTTTTGCACTAAATTAAACAGGGCCGCTAACTCTACACGGAATCACTAAATAGGAGTGACTCGTTTATATGCTAAGCTGAGCATAATGTGACAACTGTTTTTTGTCGGTGTCTTTGAAATTGTAATTACTAATTATGAAACTTTACATACTCATAAAAACTTCCAGTGTTCTCAAAACTTTTTATGAGTATGTAAAGTTTCATAATTAGTAATTACAATTTCAAAGACATCGACAAAAAAAAGGTGCTAAGGTCTTTAACATAATCGCAATGCAATGGATCTGTGAGCCTCAAGTTGAATATAATATTAGGTTGTCCCAAAATTTTTGTCGGTTTCTTTCATCGATCACTGAAACTCACAAAACACCAATCCATGGGTAAGCTAGACAACATTTCATTCAGATTTTTATCCTCTTTCATATAGCTATAATTTCTTTCTGATCTACCCTGTCTTTGCAATGTTATCGCCATAACTTTTTGAGCAGCTCAGCAGTAACGCCAAATATTTCCTGAATTTTGAAATTTTTTTATACTAATGTTTTCAAAGAGCGCTGGTAACTATTATGTAGAGCAAATCTTTGGCTACTTTGTGTTTATTTTAGATTACATAAGCCACGTTTGCCAAGTCCGTTATAATTGATTATCTAATAAAAACCGAGACTTTTTGATTACATTTACTACGTAAAAGTACCGAAAATTCCAAAAAGTTGCTCTTTCAAGGCAAATCAAACTTGGTCATGTTGCATAAATGATGTGAATCATTTTCCAATTCGCAGAAACTTTGTAAATTTCCGTGTATTTGCTGCGTTGCGTGTTTCACGACTTTGCCAAAAATCGAGACTTCTTGAGAAATAATTTTTTTCAAGCTATAAACAGCAGATTAGGAGAGTCTAAATATGTAGATTTGTAGTCCGAGAGTTGCTTTGTTAGAATCATACTTAGCCATTTTGGAAACTTTAAAATGAAATTTTCAAAAATTAGCCGATCTTTGACTAGATAAGATTGGCGGATGAGGAATTTTAACAAATATTGAAAAAAGCATACAAGATTGTGGTTCGGTAATGTATCCATAAAAAGAGAAAAAAAGCTGCATTGAATGCATGTTGAAACTCATTCAGGTCTTTATTGTGCGTAGTTTTATAGTGGTTTGAAAAACCGACAAAAATTTCGGGACAACCTAATACTATTACGTGTTTAGGAAAAGATTTTTGCAAATGTTCGAGCAAGGTTTTCATAAGTTCAGTTTTCATACATTTTCTTATTCTCTATCGACGTGATTTGAAGATCGAGACAGGGCTAGAAAAAGGTGCGTTTGGACAATTAAACTTTTACATGCAGCTGCAATGAAACTGACATTATTTCAAATGCTCTCGCTATTACTCCCTTAGCGATGGCCTGAGTAACACTAATATTTAATGATAGTTCGGTGGAATGTACGATCCGCAGGTATCCAAAAAAGCTACACCGACTGAGCCAAATATGGCATAGCGAAATTTTTGACACTGTACTCTTCGAACATGACTTCAAAAGCAGAACATTCCACCTGATATTCTCTCCAAGTGACAGCACCATGTGATCCTTTGAAATGTTGAAATACTGAGACACGCCGTAAAATTCCAAATCGCTAAGGTTGCACACCACCTTGTCTTCAACTCCTGTACAGAGAATGAGGTAGCACATTTCAGCTAAGTACATACAAAGAAAGATGCATAGTTTGGTTTTACTTAACAAATTCACAACAAGACCGACTTTTTGATACTGCCGTTTCGGACGAGAGCCTTTTTAGCTTTGTTAATTTTACGACCCACCCATGGGTCGTATTGTCCGAAATGGTAGTCGTTTTGGAAACATTGAAAACATTTCTCTAAGAATTTCCACGGAGGGGTTATCGAAGACCTGATTATCTAAATATGATTTCATTTTTGGCATTATACGGTAAGGATTATGGTAGCCAGTCTGAACAAACCCAACATTTGGATTTTCCTGAAAAATTGTGTTCTGGAAATATTTCATGTACTGATCGCGATCATAGTGTCCGATTTGTTCACTACTGTCCCATGGTGAGGCTACGATAGCAGTGCGGTAGAATTTTCGTAAAAATTAAGAAACTGATGTAGGAGAGTGGTGTTATAACTTGGACTATCATTTTCGTAATCAGCATGTTTTAAAACCAACATATGTAAGATTTGAGTTTCTTGGAATGAACGAAACGAAAAATCAATAAAATCAATGAAATTAGTATTTTTGACGTGCTAGCATCAGTCTCTTGCTCGCCGCGCCTGTGAATGTACACTTGAGCATGAGACAGAAACAGCATCATTTCGAGAAAAATTTGTGCTAAAGTTTGTGCCTTATCTGAGCCCGGACCACTCTGGCTGGAGCTTCGCCTAAGTGTCCTCAACCATGTGCTAGAACTCCGTAGAATTTCATCATAAACTGGCAAAAATAGAGTTTCAAGAATCTTAGACCCACCGGTGGGTCGTGTTGTCATGAATGTGTTAAGGTGCCAGATCAAGTGCCTTGGGCAGACACACAAGTTCAAGGCGAAAAAGTACACCAAAAAATCTTTGACTAGTAACTGAGTTCTAACATTTGTAAGAACTGCAAATTTGTGACGCTCACTTGTTTTCTTGCATAGGCCAAAGACGTTATTGAGACGCTCGGTAACTTTTGCTGTTCTGTTTACATTCAAGGAAACCCGAGTAGATCCATTTAGCGAGATGACGCGAACTGTTTTGTTCTCCGTGATCGTCTCTGATTCGTGCTCGTTTACATAGTATAGTGTGGCACCAGATGACAGGCTAAAATGTGAATGAAATGTAGCCGAGGAAAACATCACATTTCGCTTAGTCAAATGAAGGAATAATAAAGCTGGTAAGTAATCTTAGAGCAATTTTTCTTTGCTAATTTCAAGTTGTTTGGGAAAAAGCTTCAGCTTTTTGACTTAACGGTTGTAGAAAAGATTTTGAGAAGCAAAAAACATTCAAAATTTGTCATCCAAATTTTGCCGTTTACAAAGCGACAGAGTACTTCAACGCTTCCATAGCACATTGCGTCAAAGTGTTGCAAATCGAGATCAGAAGCGCTGCAAATTTTGTTAGTAGCCTGCTTCAAAGATTTCATGTCTACACATAGATCGTGATTTGGTAAGGTGACTTCTTACCTTTCTTGACGCAAAAACTCCAAAACATCTGGATCTCTTAAAACAATTTCATCGGCTAGGTCGGCGTCGTCATTGTGGCACGTGAGAAGGGCCTGAAAAGTTCGTACACAGCAGGTCTGAAGTGGAAATGTGGACCAGTGTCAATGAGGGCGGTATTTATCAACCTCCTATATAAAAAGGGATTCCTGTACAGGTGGCAGCTTGTACAGGATATATGAAGCCAAGCTTGTGATCGGGCTTCTGTTAATTGAAGAATATGGTCCGACCTGGCAAGTTTGGCCATGTCGGGCAGCAGAGCCCCACCCAGGGCCCGGCACAGATGGTCTGGAGTCAAACTGGACTTCGCTTTTGAACTTAGAAGCAACGTGGGTATCGTTTTTATAAAGTCTTGGGGGAAGTGCCGATAAAAAAACACGAACATATCAGGTTTTACGAGTTGAACGTATTCTTTCGCAAGCGCGCGAAATTCAAACGCCAACTCAAACGAACAAATGGCTTGTTTACAGCGCAGAAACAATCACATGACCCCGAATTTGGGCTATGCGTATAGAATATTCTCCAGATGAGCTATGCCTAACCGGGTGACCGGCGGTTTCCCTTCCCCTCTCATTCTATTTATAAATATATAATAAAGATTCTAGTCATAATGTTATGTTCATATAAAGTAAGACAATCAGGGTGAAGGATTCAAGTCAGGAGAGTGCACCTCCTGGACTTAATCTCACCGGGACCTCCATATCAAGTCCAGGAGGTGCACTCTACTGACTTGAATCCTTCACCCTGATTGTCTTACTTTATATGAACATAACATTATGACTAGAATCTTTATTATATATTTATAATTAGAATGAGAGGGGAAGGGAAACCGCCGGTCACCGGGTTAGGCACAGCTCATTTGGAGTTGCTGGGCACCGCCCAGTTGGCGTGGGGACTGTCGGACCATCTAATTAGTCTGCGTCTCGACAGTGGATAAAGCTTTTCATGCTGCACTTTTGAAGCAACTTTTCAGTCCTAGAGTTTAACCCTGAAGGCAATCTTGGTTATTTGATCTGTGATCCCCACCCCCTTCACTCTACTAAGAAAAGCTCACTCTTTTATATGTTGTAGAGGCCTTTGGTGGAAGAATGCGATAGCAAGCTCCTGAGATTTCAGTGTAATCAGCAGCACATGGATTTTGAGAACGACTCAATAGTCCTAGGGTGATCGTATAGAAAAAATAGTCCAAGTTTTTTCCAAATACCTGTAGTAGATGTCGATGCGTGATATACTGTTGCTCCATTGAATATTGTTTTTGTATCCTTTTCAACAGAGTGTGACTGAAATAGATTTCATTTTCAACAGCTCAAGGCAATCAGAATGATAATTTCCGATCTCAGACGTGTATATTTAAGGCAAATGAACTTTTGCAAAATACCAAGCTTGGTGTACGTGCCCGTGATCGAGCCGAACTGGCTGAAGAGTTCGCAAAAACTAACGCAAATGAAAAAGTGCCATACTTTTTCGGAATCTGGGACCGTTCCAGCTGAGTACAAGCTGTGTTTAACACTACTTTTGTTCATGTAAGTTCTCGCGATTTTTTCCGTGGATTGCAACTTCGTCTTGGAGGTTCCCGAACCAAGCCAGATATTTTCATGCTTCGTCCTCAAGCGCTTTCTATACCCCCTAGAAAATTTTCACTGGCAGCGCGGTCCTGCTCCGACAATGAGCGCGCCTTTCGAATCAACGAATGTTTCATTTCCAGCGAACCTTCGCTGTTTCATTATGCTTGTTTTCATTTTCTGTTTCTTTTTAAAGTCTAGTCCATTCATGTGGTAATCATTAGTTCTTTCATCATTCGTGAGTGATAAAAAAGGGAAGGCGGAGAGAAGGCAAAGAGGGAGGAGGAGGGGAAGTGTAGACGAGACAGGGGAGGTGGAGAAAAATGACAGCGGAGGCCGGATTTAGGTTATAATATGACGTTGATCATGAAGTACAACACGCTCAGCACCGACAAAGGGTTTCAAAAGATTTGAGAGAAGATACTCGTGGAACAAATGGTTGAGAGGTATTTCAGGTTTGAACAGCCGAGTTATCGGTTGTTTGGTGCAATTATGGGAAGGGGAGGGGAGTTCCTCCTGATGTATAAGATATCCGCTACTTGAAGTGTTTGTTTGCACTGATTAACAATGGCATTAGGTAAAGGTAATGATAATGTGGACAAGTACTCGAATGTCAACGCGGCTTTCCTTCTCCTTTCCAGCAAAACAATGAGGAACTGATTTGAAAATTTTTAGAGAATTTAAAGACTTTCGGACTTGTGTTACACAGATACTTTGCCTATTTTCAAAGTTCCCATTCTAAATATTCAAAGAAGAACCCATTACACCAAATACACAAACATTTCCGAGGGGGGAACTCTACAACTTTACTTCGCTTTTAGGTATGAAAATTCAAGTATCATCAAAGCTAAGCTAGGAGAAAGCGTTGCAGTTTAGAGTTTTCGTCGGCTACGCGACTCTTAGGAACAGTGAAAGTGCTATGCCCAAAACTTCTGGAATCATTTCAGGTGTGAGAAAGCAAGAGAGATCTGAAAGAAAAAGAAAAATTAGGTCGAGCACAATTTAGAGCGCTTGTCTACTAATATTTTGTCTGATTCGAGGACAAATCATGAACGATGTAAAGTTCTTATTACCTCACATCCTTGGAATATGCCTATTTACTTAATGGATCCATCGCGTTATTTTCAGTTGGATAAAAAGGACAGATTGCTCTGTCTTACGCAAAGCGTAAAAATTATGGTGTGAAGAAATCGGCATTGCATGCTGGCGACAACAGTCACAAATAGCGTGCACGACGTACTCGGAGCTAGCATTGACAATCTGGCAAACAGTTCGTATAATGTTCTTTGATTGTGACTCACGCAAACAACTTCAAAACTTATGCTTATTGCGAACATCCACTATGCACACATCTACCATAATCCCATGAAACGATCTTTCGTTAAAAAAGCATACAGTTTGTCGCGTGTTATAAACACTTGCGAATTCAAGAATTTGCGATCTGCAGCAATACAACTTAATTTTTTTAATCTACTGCGTGCTACAGTAGCCACGTCGTTTCGAACTATACCGATACAACTAAACTCAAAATTTGAAAAATTTTGAAAACTTGCTTTCTCTGTGGACGGCGAGGAAGGTGATGTAAAGAAGTAGTCAGCGGTGTTCCAATTTTGAAGAAATGTCCATGTTCCATAATAAGATGATGAAGCGTTGTTCATTGTAGCAGATGCGCCATCGTAGCTATCAACGGTCGGTTTGGTTGCACTCACATACTTTCTGTTTGGATATAGCGAATAAGGCGGGCTCAACGAACTTATGTATGACTCAAAAAGTCTTGAAAAAAGCGTTGCATTAGTTATTTTTGACTCCGAACTTTTTCGAATATCATGCCAACTTGGACTGCCACTGAAAAAATGGGAATAAAATGAAGAGCTTGGTACGATTGTGGTATTGACATATCCGGACTTTGACACATTTGCACCAAGATTAGCTGTGTTTGTCTTTTCTGCAAAGGTCTCCGTATTATTGCTAAAATCTGTTTTTATCGGTGACGACATTTGGTTAAATACGGTTGTGTCAGATTCTGTTGCTTGCGTGACACTATTGCTTGCAGTTCTTAAACTTGATTCTAAAGAAAGCTTCATTTGGGGCACTTCCTTAACCGACGTTGCTTTATCTGGATGTGTTGAAGCCTTGCCAAGTTGTTCGAAGTCTGTAATAAGTAATAGTGTTGTTATCTTTGATGTTCTTCGAAGCTCACCGCTTGTTTCGCTGGGATTACTGGACTGAAGTTTTGTGGGATGCTCGGATAAAGTTAGCAGGTCACTCCATGTGACTGACCCTTTGCTAGTTGATGCTGATTGAGTGCTATTACTAGGATTATTATCCTCAAGACTTAGAAAATTGCGATCATCCTTTGTCACAAAGTGCGCTGTTAGCATCGGTTTGTTGCTGGATACTCGCAAGGAAAACTTCTTAGATGTAGATGTAAGCGAAGAGGTTTTCCTAAAGAGAGTGGACGATAGCAGGCGGCTATTGGAGGCTTCCTGCGTTGGAGTTTCTTGTGACGTGGCACTGCTAGAGTGGATGTTGCTCTTCGAAGAGTATGTTATAGCACGTTTACGCGTCTTAGAGAAAGTCGGAGTTTCTTGTGACGTGGCACTGCTAGAGTGAACGTTGCTTTTTGAAGAGTATGTTGTAGCAGATTTACGCGTCTTAGAGAAAAATTCCATAGGATTAGATGGAAGACTACTGAAAACCGAACTCGCTTCGGTGATGGATGTAGATTGTGGTGCAGTATGTATAATTGATGTGGGTGCTTCGTCTTGTTCTACTGCTTGTTCTGCTCCGTCTTCTTTTATTGAAGCTACTTTGTTTGTGCTGTCTCCTGTCGTTGTATATGTCATCGTTGATATGATAGAAACTGCATTTTTGGTGCTAAGGCGATGTGCTTTTCTTCGGCTACTGGGCTCAATTTTTTCTTCTGTGTCATACTTGGCAATACTGCTCATCTTTATCTCTGAGAAAAATGATTTTATTTTCTCCAACATAGCGGTAATACTAAGCACTGGAGCGCTACTAAAGGTTTTGGGAGTCGAGAAAGCTGTATCACTTGTTTGTGTCAAATCGGTCGACTGCTTTGACGTCACTGTACTTTGATGCATACTCTCTTCTTTGGACTGGAGGCTTGCATTCAGTGAATTGCTTGTGTTGACTTGAGGAGCGGCAGTAGGTGACTGTTGATACCTGGAGCTAGAAAACTGTGTGTCTTCTTTCAGTACATGTTCAGTGTGTGCAATGTGTGCGTCTTCCTTTGAGGTTATGCTGGTGTAATTGACCCGTCTGCGTTGGCTGCTCTCAGTCAAATTTGCAGTCGCAGACGACGATTGAGTCTGATCTGTCGTTGTCGTTTCTTTATTGCTCTGAGTCAATGTTGAATGGTTTGGCTTTACAGAGTCATCAAGAGTTCGATGAGAGTAAGTGCTAGCCATCGCAGAAGAAACGTTTGCAAAACCCGTTGTCAATGCAACCGCTGCTGGAGAGGATGCTGGTTCAAGAGAAGTCGTTGTAGGTGTGTTGATAATGGTCATTTTTGCAGTTGATGTTGTTGTTGTTGTTGTTGTTGTTGTTGTTGTTGTTGTTACTGCTGTTGTAAGAGGAGCTGAAGTTGTTCTTTCCGTCGTTATTGTAAGTGCTTCTATACTTGGATTTGTGTTTGCTGTTACTGTTGTCTGATATGGCGTTGCCTTCGTCTGTGTTGAAATTGTGGAGGTAGTTGTAGATGGACTTATCGTGGATGAGATAGCATACATTGTTGTTGAATTTGTTTTTGCTGTTACTGCTGCTAGAGCTGAGCCTATACTTGTCATCGCCGCTTTAAGCGTACTTGATTCTGAATCTGTTGCTGTTCTACCTTCTGTTTGGGCTATCAAAGACGTGGCCGCCGTAGTTACTGAAGTTTTATCAGTTGTTACAGAAGTTGTGGATGGCATGGCAGTCGTTGTTTCTGGACTTATTGTTGCTGGATTAGAACTTGTACTTGTCATCGTCACTTCGAGTGTAGTTGTCTCTATTGTTATTGTTTCATCTGCTCTTTGAGTTGAAGACATTTTTGCTTCCGCTAGATGTGGAGCAGTGGTTCTAATAAAATTTGTGGTGAGTGGGACGTTATTCTTCGTTGTTGCAGTCGCTGTCGCTGTTATCAATGATGAAACTGAACTTATGTTTTCCGCATCAAATGTTCTTGTTTTCAGTACTATTGTCTGTTCATCTGCTGTTTCAGTGGCTGGAGACGCCGTCGTTGTTGTTAAAGAATTGGCAACACTTTTCATAGAAGAAATTGTCGTGGATGGAGTAGCAGTCGTTGTTGTTGTTGGTCTTGTTGTCGTTATTGTTGCTAGAGTTCGATTTGTACTTGTCGTCCTTTTTTCTGTTGTGCTTACAAGCATAGATGTTGTCCCTTCCTTGGCTATTTGAGTTGTCGAGGTCTTCTTCATCGCTGCTGTCGCGCGTTTAGAGCTTGAGGACGTAGCAGTCATTATGTAAGTTACTGTGAATGGGTCTGGGTAGGTAGACGTTGCTGGTTCTGGTGTTGTAGTAGTTGTATGTTTTGCAGCTGATGCTTTTGTTATCATTGTTGCTGAAGAGGAAGTACCTATCGCCATTGTTGGAAATGAAGATGATTTTGATAGTATTGTTGCCAATGTTGCTGCTGGAGCTGCTGCCATAATGGTCTCCGCTATTATTAAACCTTCAGTCATAGTTCCTGCAGTGTCCGAAGTTGAAGTAACGTTCTTTGTTGTTGGCATGGCTGCTGTTTTAATAGCTGCTAAGGTTGCATCAGATGCTGAGGGTGCTGGATATAGAGCATAGCCTTTTGAAAATACTCTTTTATCCAATACGCTACAGACTGCTACAGTACCATTGCCTTTAGAGCATCTCTTCACCTGTGGACATGGGCATCTTCCATGATAGTATAGAGACTCAATAGCGAGCACATCCGAGAGTTCCTTGATTTCCTCAATCCACTTGACAACCACATCAATTTTGGAAAAATTGGCTATTTCACAAAATTCCAAAGCTTTATCTGAGTTGTTGACTAGCATCAACAACCATTCAGTTGAAAAGTTGAAACATTTGAAATTGCAAGTACCGTCATTTTCGATCCGGCTGTATGGTGAAGGCAGAAAAAGCCCGCAATCTCTCCCGTCTAAAAAGCTATTTTTGGTCAAATCAGTAAATTCAAAGATTCTTTATTCAGCACATAAAAAAATTAACAGTGTACGCTCTCAAAAATTACCAAGGACGGTAGTAATCTGGTGGAAACTCCGAGTTTAAAACTCTGCATTAACTTACAGATAACTCTGAGTTTTGTTCTTAAAACACAGAGTTATGCCTATTAAAACTCTGATTGTGAATTTCGCTTTCAAAGTTCCGAGTTTCAACTCTCAAGCTGTTTGAGGAGCTGTTACGCACTTTGCTGCAAAGCAATGTTGAAGTTGGGATTCGAACTTGTGTGATCTAGCGCAAAGATCCTATCACTTAACCGCCGTGACACACCTTTGAAGCTTCAAGTTGCTTTGTACTCATTGCATTTTATATTCATTGCATTAAAACATATCTTGTCGAAACAAGTTATATCAAAACCTGAATCAATTTCATATCTGTAGAGAAGTGGTGGTCTATCGCACTCGCACTGGTCTTTTGTGCAGCTGAAGGCTCAAAAAAATAGTGAGAGCGGATGGCATACGCAATGGTAAAAATGGGCTATTAGGATTTGCACGCAGAATAAACCCTCCGGGCGAAGTTTGCCCTTATTCTGTGATATGGCTCACTTACTGTATGCCTACCATACTTCCGCCAAAGGGCACCACCGCATGAAAGGTTCTTTACAGCGGTTGGTGCACCGGTACCTCACTGAGTCGAATTTTAGCCACGTTTGTGACTTCATCCCACTTACCGCATATCTACCGTAATCGCTTCAAACGACACCAGTGCACGTAGCAGGTAGAATGTCCGTGATCCGCGCCTCGAATAATCCCAGGTATCAACTTTCGGCTGACTTCGCCGATTGATTCACCTACCGTAAACCTACCGTAACCTTGCCAGATGTCACCGCAGATAAAATGAATGTTTTATTCATAATCTGCGTCCCGAATAACTTCACCGGTCCAAGTTTCGACCAATTTTGCGATTGTTTCCTGTTTACCGTAAACCTACCATAACCTTGCCAAATGTCACCGCAGTACAAAATGCACGATAAATTCGTGATTAGTGCCCCGAATAACCCGGATATATGTCAAGAAGAACGATAGCTGGTACCAGTGGCGCGCGGGGTCATGAACTGGCAGTAACGTGTCCGCTCGAAGCTCCGCCCTACTGCGGCGGACGAGTTTCTCGGACGATACCGTCAAGTAAAAATAACTTTTGATGGTGAGATCCATAAGCTTGTTGCAAGCTGGGGTGAAGCTTGACTATTTACAGATTCTTGTTTTGATTTTTTGTTCTTTTTTTGGCAGTCAATAAACAGCTGATGTGTTGGTCGTGAAATTCGAGAAATTCGCTGATTTACCTATGAATGACCGATTGACTCCTAGATTCCAACTTTGAAGTGTGAAGTCAATCTAGAACACCTCAGGCATGATTATCCAAGTGACCTCACATCTTACGACTAGTTCACACGCAATTTCGATTGAGTTACAGATCGATCTGTATTGAGAATAGTAGGAGTTTTGTTATTTAAAGCAGATTCGAAAATATGTAAGTGCAATATAATTTTCCTGAAATCTGAGAAAATTTTTGTGACATGACCGCATACCTGCAAAACGAGTTAGTTTGCTTGAAACAGAATTCGCCTATAAAGCTTGTTTTGAATTCTAGTCGTACTGAAATCTGTTTTCAGCTATGATTAGGTTTAGGGTCATTTCAGCAATAATAATAGTATTTCTCGATAAGCTGACTTCTTTAGAACTAAACTTGAGATTGCATAACAAAGTATATTCAATATGGTAACAGATATGAATAGAAAAAAACACTTTTCTAAGCATTTCGAAACAATTTCCTCACGCCTGCAATGAACAATCAGTTTGGACAAGCCTACTAGGAACAAATACCCTATTTTCCGGCGTATAAGCCGCATTTATTTTCATCGCGAGCGGGCTGAAGTGCGGTGCTTTTCGCGATGCGCACAGCCGCACAAGCAGCCAACTACTGTCCGTCTCAACAAGTAGCCCATTACTAACTTCCTGCTTTCGTTCTTTCTTGGTTTCTTCTCAATTGCAACTTGTTTGTAAGAAATCTTCATCTTCCCATTCATCATTACGGTTTCAACTCTTGTTCATTTCTCTCGCTGCCCGTCAAGTCATCCTCTCAATTCCTCTCCTAATGCTGACCATCTGCTGGGAGTCTTCTGAACGTTTTTGGTACTGTCGCATTTTATGAGCTTCTCCTGCTCGCATCGCCATCTTTGTCGTCCAATTGACGACGAACTCTAAGGAAACCGGCCGGTTCCATTCTCTGCAGCATAATCGATGCTTTCGATTTGAGACTGTGTGGGACTTCCTCCCATCTGCATACCAATATCAGGATACGCATCCAAAGAAATGAAAAAATTAAGACATGATCATTTGCACTAAAGACTCACGAAACGCACCGAGTTTTCACTTTGATAGAACTCTTTTTGAAGGCGCTTTCGCGCTACTGTTCGCTGCGGCGGGTGTGGCTTATATAAGGTGCGGCTTATAAGCCGGAAAATAGGGTAATTGAAATACATTAGAAAGAGCTTGCGAACCAATTCTAAAGAAAAATGATCTGAAAACTGATTTTCAATTCAACTGTAATTTTGAAGTCCACTGTTATCCAAATTGCAACCAACTGAAGAAGCATGAATGAAGTATTAAACAGTTTTCCAATAGCTGCAACGCATTCATAGGCTAATTAACAAAGGGGCGGAGCGATCAGCGCACCGCGTATGGTATCCAGCTGGCGGCTGGCACATGCTATCCTTCATCTTGACCGCCACCCGAATAACCCCACCGGCCTTAATTGCTAAAATTGTGGTTTTCTCCTGTCTACCGCAGACCAACCGTAGGCTACATGACGCCTTGGTGAAAATGAGTATCATATTCGTGATCAGCATATCGCATAACCCCTTACAAGGGAAGGATACCAACTCAGATTCGCTTTTGGAGATGGGACACATATATTTGGAATCAGCTTTGAACGCTGATTCCAAATATGCTGTTCTTAGCTGCTTAGCATTTATCTAAAGCGAGTCATGGGCTTGCTGTTGTGAATGACTAACAGACTTCTGAATGTCGTAAGACGGCGTGTAGCTGAAAATTTGCTCAAGAAAAGTGCTAGGATGTTGAACTAGCATCAGATTGATTTTTTCAAAAAGGGAGCATATACAATTGCAAAAACACCTAGACATCGTAGCATCAGTAGGAGCACGCAAACTTTGCATAGAAAAGAGACCATAACTCGCTTTAGGATAATGCTAAGCAGCTAGGAGCAGCATATCTGGAATCAGCGTTCCAAGCTGATTCAAATATATGTGTCTCATCTCGAAAAACGAATTTAATTTAGTATCCTTCCCTTATTAGAACAAGACTTTACAAAATTTCAAAATTCTGTAAATTACTGCGCACCACGATAGGAAAATAGAAAGTGGCCTTTTTAAATATCTGCTTACAATGGAAGGAAGTGCAGTCGATGTGGCCTTTTGAGATAAAATGCATACCTTAGAACCAGCGCCACTACCACCACCCCCATCATCTCTGCTGTCACGAGCAAAATGTACTCCGGAGGAGTGGCGGACTTTATGAATGATAGCGCGTGCTTAGGCAGGCGTGTGTCAATAAGGTGCGGACCGTTAGCCCCGCCTATCGCAGGATGGACGAGTTCTTTGCAAGACAGCTCTAGCACCGGATCATGGCCATGTTCCCTAGTCAAATGAAAGCAACTCTGTTAGTGAGCTATAAGCTGTTGGGCTGTAAATAATCAAGCTTCACCTTAGCTTGTTGCAAGCTGGGGTGAAGCTTGATATTTACAGAAGTTTGTTTTGCTTTCTTGTTTCTTTTTTTGCCGATCATGAACAGCTGATGTGTTGATCGTAAAGTTCAAGATGCTTGCTGATTCACCTATGAATGACAGAGTGACTCCTGGATATCCACTTTGAAGTGTGAAGTCAGTCTAGAGCACCTCAGGCATGATTGTCTGACCTCACGTCTTACGACTACTTCACACGCAAGTTCGGTTGAATCACAGATCAATTTATACTTATCGAGACGCAGACTAATGAGATGGTCCGACAGTCTCCACGCCAACTGGGCGGTGCCCAGCAACTCCAGATGAGCAGGGCCTAACCGGGTGACCGGCGGCTTCCCCTCTCCCTCTCTTTCTATATATAAATACAAAATAAAGATTCTAGTCATAAAGGTTATGTTCATGTAAAGTAAGACAATCAGGGTGAAGGATTCGAATCAGAAGAGTGCACCTCCTGGACTTGACATGGAGGTCCCGGGTTGTTTTCTTTTTATGACTCACATTGTGACAAAGTGCGAGAGAAATCTGAGATATTGCTACTCTATCCATGTTGACTAAGAATAATAGCTCGGAGCCTAATCAACCGGTGCTACAACCACATCCATGCCCTCTGCTCCCCCTTGACATCAATGACCCCTGTCATCGGATGCCTCCAAGCAACATCGGCTCCCTCGACCATATGTCTTGCCATCCAGCAACCCCCACGTGAGTCCTCTGCGTTCAACGCCGTTTTTGAGACCAACTGCACCACACGCCTACCAAGCACCGAACAGTAAAGATGCCAATGCGAACATCGATGAACATAGTGGTGGAGCTATTGGTAAAGCAGACGAGACGCGAAGCCGAAAATGAGGAGCAAGCGACAGCGACAGAAAGAAAACGATCATCAAGCGAACTCGGAGTGTCGAGAAACTCGACCGATATTTTTATAATTTGTATATTCTATATATCTTACTTGCAATGTAAGTGTTCAAGCGCAGCAGCTAGTCTTTTTTCTTCATGCTTTAGACTGCAGCCATGTATGAAAAAGGAGCGAGAATTTAGCAGCTGGTAATCTCCT